CAGTGCCAATCCTCGCCATGCCAGGGGCCACACAGGCCACATCACTCCTCATCCTACTCACTGCTGTGACTGACTTCTCTATAAAATGTCCACAGTTCCCAGTGGCAGGGAGAGAGTATTTAATCACATGCAAACGCTGGCCCTTTTTTTCCCCGTTAAAGGCCTCAGGAGGGCCTTGGTGCTCAGACATCCTAACACAATCCCTCTCTGACTCCTGTACTTAGGATACTGGCTGTCCCTGGGTCCTGAGGTCAACCTATCTACGTAGCAACAAGCCATAGATGCAAAAATCCTTCATAACTGCCTCCAGCCCAGCACTGGCCAGGGATTCAGGCCATCAGTTCTTGTCATTGTTGGGATGGGGAAGCCGAGCAAAGTTCACAACAATCTGGCTAGTGAGGGCTGGGAGGTGTTAGAAACAGGCATACCTTGCAAGCAATGCCTCCCCTGCTCAATCTCTTGGAACATGGGGAGGCCACATTTTCCTTCCTCCAGTGTCCTCAGTGCTCCACGCCCCCTCAAAGACACATACCCCTGGCCTGACTGGGAGGTACCTCCACACAGAAGGCATTTTAGGACCTGCAGGCCTGCATTGGCAATGGATCCGAAGGGCAGCACTGAGCCACACAATCCAACTGGACTGATTACCATCACACAATGGAGTATGTTTTTAAAACAAGTGCATAAATGAACACATGAGGCATGCATTAGATAACCTATGGGGTCTGTTCAGATTTCAACTGTTTCCTTAAGTTGGAGTTGGCTCTCCCAGCTCAGCAGACAAGGAGCTAACACAGAGCCTGGGAGACTGGTGGGGCCTCCTGTGCAGGGCAGAGGCACATGAACTTGTGTAAATAGGAGCCTATCTTCCTGCTGACCTTCGTTATGTTCTCAGGGAGTGACTTTTGACACTCCAAACTTATTATCAGTAGACAGTGACTCTATACTCTAGCTCAGCCTCTGACAGCAGAGCTCCCAGAAACAGGACCACATGTGGGCCAAAGAGAACATTCCAGGAAGTCAGCTCTGCTCCAGCCCCAATAAGATAGTGCCAGGTCAAGTGAGGAGCCAGTCCCTGGGTTCTGGTGTTTCCCACAGTGAGCAGGCCCCCAGTGCTCATCATCAACAGGCCAGACAGTATATCTATAAACTTGCCAAGGCAGGCATATGTCACTAAACCAAGCAAACATCCCTCCCCTCTTCTCCCCTCCCCTCCCCTCCCCTTCCCCTCAAATATATTTCTAAGCAAACAACAAGCATGCTTCTGGCTTTGATACTCATTCTTGATGTCTGTATCTTTTGCTACCAAATAAGAACACAAGAGGAAGGGGGATGAATTCATTTCTAGTACATAAATGATTCCTAAAAACTAATCATGTCAGCCTGGAGACCACATCCAGTCCCCTATGGAATCAGATGGGAATTAGACTTGAGAGTCACAGCTTGTACTTGTCTAGAAAATTCCTAAACTCTGAGGGCAGGACTAGCATGGCATGCATTTTTGCAATTAAATAAATGTAAAATGTAAAGTCTCCACATGGACCAGCTCTCTGGAAGCCCAGCAGTGAGTGTCAAAGCTGGAATTGGAAAGGACAGAAATGACCCCCCACCTCCACTCTGGGTGTCGTGTGTGCCCAGTGTTACCTGGTATTCACTAATTCGTTCCTTGCAGGGGCTCTAAGCACCGTATGTTAGCTGGGCCCCCTGATTGTTCTCTGAGGTCACACTAGGGCTGCCTTTTGGCAGAAACCCGCCAGAGAGTCAGGAACCACACTACCCTGTGGTCAGTATCTTGTCCCCTAAGCACAAGTGTCCTCTTGGCCTCCCTCAGCTTGGTCCCCCTCCCCAGCTCACTAAGGCCTGGAATTGTCTAGTTTTGGGGAGTGGGTGACCCAGCAGCTCCCACGGCTGGATTTCAGGGTATCTGTGGCAGGGAGGGCACCACCATCCTGTCTGCAGGGCACAGAAACCAAACTCACAAACACCAAGAGCTCATCCAGAAAACTTAAGAACGAGAAGCCAATGATATCAAAGGAACAGTACAGCAGCTGCGGGTCCAAATGAAATAAGGATCTTGGTCCTCAGTGGCAGGACCACTGTGAGCGGCTGCTGCAAGGGACCCTCAGATCCGAGGCGGCTGGGGCTGCAGTGGCTCCGCGGACTGTGGTGGCAGTTCTAAGCATTTCACTGGGAAGAGAAAACACCCGTTAGAAGGGATTCATTTCCACGCTGCACAGAAGGCGCAAATACACAAGTCAGCCCCTGCTGGGGACAGCAAGCTGGTTCCCTGTCTGTCCTGTTCAGGGGCTGGGGCAGCACAGCCCCTCCTGGCCAAACTCCCCTCTAGTGCCCACTCTGTCCCCAGGTCAGGGCAACCCACTTCCTCATCTGTAACGGGAATGCTTCTGATAGGATTCCTGGGCGGATTTTAAATAAAGCACTTGACACAGTACCTGGTCTACAGAACGTGCTCACACAATGTTGGCTAAGAGTTTTAAAAATGCTTATAGTGAATGCTGCTGTCGAGCCAGTTTTCCCATGTTTTAATTCAGGGCTCTTTAATCCATTCAGTGCAGTACTGTCAAGTACCCATCCTAAGCAAGGGCATGGGGCACGCTGTGCACCCCCACTGCTGCTGCCCTCTAATATAGCCACAAGATGCCTACCCAGCCTCTACTGAGGAAAACAGCCTTTCCTGACCACCCCACTCAAATTCCAGAGCCACAGGTGGTATCTACCCTGAGAAACTGGCCCTCCAGGCCAGCAGCTTGACCTTATGCAGCCTCCATTGCTGATGGCTCCTGTACCCAGAAAGGGCTTCATGACCATGAAGGAGACAGGGAAAGAGGGAAGGAGGGAGGGAGAGGGGGGAAAGGAGGGTAGAGGGAGAAAGGGAGGAAGGGAGGGTAGAGGGAGAAAGGAAATGAGGGAGGGGGAGGGAAAAAGGGAGGGAGGGAGGGAGGAAGGGAGGGAGACGGGTTCCAATAATAGGGTCTATGTTTTAACCAAGTTCCCTCCTGCCTTTGGCAATTTTCAAATTGAAAGTTTATGTGTCTAGGGTAAAATATTCCCCAGGGCTCTATGAGAATTTGTCTGGAGTCATCTATTTTCATTGTAGGGAGTACAGGGGCCTGGGGCTCATGCTCAGATAACTCAGGAGCACAGCCCGAGCCCCAATAGTGCACCGAAGTCCTCAACACAGCATCAGCTGGCCCTGGCTGTGGTCCCACTCTCCCTGATGGCCATCTGATCAGGGGCTGAGTGCAGGGACCTCTAGGCCACTGCAGCCCTTGTTCTGCCTGGATATTCTAGAAACAGACACCTCTGCACTTCCTGCTTCCCTAGCACAGTGCTGGGCTCACCAACTAGGGGACCTTTGGCAGCAAGGGACACTGACCAAAAAGTCTTTACCTTGAGGTTCTTCACACACAACAGCTTCTAGGTTCTCTCCCTTCACGTAGTCTGCATTGAGACCCTCTGCAAAGGGCAAAGGGCAGAGTTAGCAACTGAACCAAAGGGTCTCCCACCATGATCAAGCACTCCCGACTAAGTCCTCCAACTCCCTTCACAGACTCGGACCCTGCACCCTGAGCCACGTAAATGTCTTCATCTAGGCAGAGTGGCTGGCTGGGAGTGTGCTGCCTGCCCAATTCTCATCATCATCCTCAGAAATGATATCACATGGCAAAGGCCCCTGACAAACCCCGTCCGCATAGGGCAGGTGGCACCGCATGTAGATTGTGAGCCAGACAGCAGCTCCACTCAGCAGAGGGGGCACCCAATAGCAGGGCTCAGTGTCACCCATGGGTCCATATGCTGGGCCAGGGGCCAGGAAGGCAGAGAGGGAGCCAAGCACTGCATGAGTAACTGATGGATGCTGAGTAGAGGGGCAGATAGCTGAGTGGAGCTCACTTTGGAGATGCCTGCAAAGCCTCCTGCTAGTGTACAGCCTTCCCGGCAACACCTGCATGGAGAGGCCAACCAGATCCTCTAGGCAGTGGGAATGGCACTGGCCCTGCCCCAGCACATACAGGTGCTAGGGCCCAGCAACAGCTGCTCTGGTCTAGTTATTTGGCTTTCTCCCACCTACTTTCGAGAGGGACTTGGGGACTCTACAAAGCATGCTCTGCATGCCAGCGCTCTGGCCACTGAGCAGCACCATGCTGGACACAAGGGCAATTACTCAGGACTCAGAGTGGACCCAACCCCTGCTGCCTGGGGAGAGTCAAGAGCCCCTGTCTTATCCTTAGATGGGCAAGAGACTGGAAATCTCATCAGAGCTCTGGGCCTGCAGGAACACTGGATCATGGTTACAACAACCAACCAAATGAGTAGGCACCAGTGTAAGTCACTCCACCCTCCTAGGCTGCATTCAGGCTCCTTGCCTAGAAAAGTATGCCTGTATGCCCTGATGCTTGCTGGCTCAAGGCGATACCAGATGGGTCCAGTAAAAATGTGGGCATCTGTCAGCAGGTGTGGCTGGCCCCCATATGGGACAGGGTAGATGATGGAGCTGGGAAAAGCTATCCCCAGCTGATGGGCAGGGGATGGGAGACTCCTTGACCTCTGGTCACTGTCCAGCTGCCACCCTGGCATGCATAGGACTGGCTTTTACCTGTGGACAGCCATCTGGTTTGCTCCTCAGGGATGACCACCAGGGGGCATCTGAATCCTACACAGGACCTTCACCCCCTCCCACACATCCCTGAACCCAGCCTAGGGACAGAAATTCTGGCAGGTGGCACCCTCCTGTGTGTATCAGGGAAAGCTAAAGATGATGTGGTTGCAGCCAAGTTGGAAAGTGCCAAGGAAGAGCGGTGGAGAGCGGTGAGAAAGAGCAAGAGCAGCAGGATGGTGGGGGGAGGGGGGAAGACAATGAGGCATTGAGGCCAAAGCAGAAGAGAAAAACAAGTAAGTCAAAGTACATTGTTACCTTGACCTTCTGCTGCATCTGAAGGCAAGACACAAAACTTAGGACCCTGGAGCAAGAACTCAGCCCCCGGCAACAAAGCACACGGGCTTTTGGTGAAACACGCTGGCCCTTGGCACTGAAGGCAGAGATGGGAAGCAAAGGGTCCCCAAAACCTGAGCCCTTTTGATGGCAGAAAAGGCTGGAAGCCCCTGAGGGCCACATTGGGGAGAGACCCTCCTAGTAGCCACATGCCATCCCTTGGGGGGCTTGCTGGTGCACCCCGTGCAGAGTGGTTTCTGCTCTGCTTTTCCTGACCTCCATGCAGTGATAGTTGAGGCCACCCTGGGCAGGAAGTCCCAGCCCCCAGCTTCACAGTGGTTTTAGCCACCCCACATCCATGGGATTCCTCCTGATTCCCACCCAGTGTAGGTACCAGGTACATAACACATGAAGCACACACAGTCTTCCCACAGGCTGACAGTCCAGAGAGTGAACAGGGAAGCAGTCACAGATACAGAAACAAACCACCAAGCCCAATCCTTCCTCATGATCTCCATACCAGTCAGCAGGGGGCGCTGTGGGCACATCCAGGAGAGACATCTAGTCAGGGCCATCAGGCTGGGAGGGTCGGAAGGCTTCCTGGGAAGGTAACCCAGGCCCAAAGAATGAGAAAGGCTAAGTGAAGAGGGGACAGCAAGAGAGGATGCTGGAGGCCCCAAGGCACACTCAAGGAAGTGAGTATGGCTATGGAGAAAATCTTATGGGGCCATGGCTGCAAGGGTGGGGAGGGGAGCGAAAGGGCAGGGCTGTGGTTTGAGTGGAACCAACCACAGAATGACAAGCTCAGGGGCTCAGCCATTACCTGGGAGGAGTGGGGAACATGGGAGGTCCTGGCAGAGCTGGTTCTGTGCATTTTTAAGCAGGTCCTTCTGGCTGCTCCGTGCAGGGGGAAGTATGGGGAACACTGGGGCAGGCAGGAGGCTGATGGAACCATCCAGATAGAGGACTAGGAGACCTGGCCCTGGAAAGGCATGGGCCATGGTGGTGGTGTGACCCCAGAGCAGGGGGCACAAGCCCCAGGATTGGTAAACCACGGATGTGGCATGAGGAGACAGGAGGATCCAGGAGGACTGGTGGAATCTGTGAGAGGGGCCACAAGGATGGGGTGGACACAACTTAAAAACTCTGAAGAGAAATTTGGTAGTACAGGGAGTGGATACAGAAGCAAAAGATGTCCTTTTCAAAACTGGGGGATACTTCACACTTAGCTCCCTTCTGTGTAAATTGGGGGTGATGTTAGCACTTGCACAAGTGTCCAGTAAAGGGATTCAGGACAATGTAGGTTAAGCAATGATAATGACATCATTAACAGACTGAAGGGGGGGAAAAACAGGGCCAAAGACGAGGGTCCACTCATACAGGAGCCAGAGGGTGTAGTCTGAAGTCTGTGGCAGGAGGGAAGCCTTCCTTTAGACTGAATGGGGGGTTGGGGAGAGGCCTATTGGCTCCCACTCAGGGATCTGTGAGGCCAGTGGGTTCCATGAACTTCTTTGGAGCCATCATAGTCCTACAAGCCCACTTGCTTCCCTCGCCTATGCCACCCTGCCAGCAGGCTCACCCCCACTGCCTGGCCCAGCAATACCCTCACCTCGAGGCTACCCCCCAGAAAGGTCACATCCATGCCCTCCAGCTTTGTTGCCACATAACTTTCAGCTGTCATTAACACTCCCTCTTTTGGGTTTATTCTTTCCCAAATATTATATAAATTGCTCAGTTCTACACACCAAGTCCTTCATGTGTTCACATTTTATTTGGCTTCCCTGATAATCCAATTTGAAAAGCTCATATCTGTCTGTTTTATGTGAAAATAATGTATTTTCATTTCACCTTAGTACCCCCACAGAGACAAACAGATACAACCCAGACATCTCTTTTTTAGTTTGGAAATCAACCTTTTTTTCTCCTCCCTGTTTCTACCTACTGGTACCCCTTCTGGATTCATGGCTTCCCATCTGGAGTAAGTTCCTTCAAGGACTGTCTGTGCCTCTGTTCACCTATGAGATGAGGGTGTACGTCATTCCTAATCAGTGGGGCTGTGGGAGTTCTTACTCTTTGGGTAATGATGCTGTACTGGAGTGTATGGTGGCCCCCAAAAAGATATGATATGTCCTGGAACCTGTAAATGTGACCTTATTTGGAAAAGGGTCTTTGCAGAAGTGATCAAGTTAAGGATCTTGAGATGAGATCAGGCTGGATTATCCAGGTGGACCCTACATTTAATGACAAGTGTCTGTATAAGAGACAAAATAGGAGAATCAGACACAGAGGGAAAGGCCATGTGAAGACAGAGGCAGAGACTGAAGTGATGCAACCATATACCATGGGACATCTAGGGCCACCAGAACCTGGAATAGGCAAGAAAGGATCATTTCCTAGAGCTCCCAGAAGAAACCAACCCTGCTGACACCCTGATCTTGGACTTCTGGCCTCCAGAACTGGCAGAGAATAGATTTCTGTTGTTTTAAGCCAGTCCGTTTCTTTTATTTTATGCTGGGACAAAGGAAAGCTCTAAGGACAATCCAGCCTCCAGGTCTGCACTCCTGACTCTTCCTTGTTCACACCACTCTACAGCCAAGCTTCGCAATTCCTGGTGAGGTGACAGTATCTCCAGCAGGGAGACCATGAACAGTTGCACAGGTTGTGTACTGAGATGTGAATGGTGCCCCCAGAATACTGTGCGCAGTCTGTGTAGCTGTATGTGGTGGCCCTGGTCAAGAATGTTGTATAAGAGTAAAAGAAGCAAATATGATGGCCAGATGAAAAAGTAGTTGGAGATTTCAGCAATATCCACATTCAAAACATTCTGGGACTTGGGTTAATTTTCTGGGGAGCTCAGCTCCCAGCTAGAATTAAGGGCAGAGTCCTAGAGCAAGGGTAAGAGAAGCCTCATAGGGGATAATCCTAAATTTAGGAAAGAGGAAATCTACTGCTGAGTCAGATACTGTCCCTTGAACTAAAAATCACCAGTCTTAGGGATACACTCTTAGCAAACAGTGACACATCAAAGCTGTGCTTATAAAACCAACAAGTGTGGTTTTTCTGCCCCCGCCCAATAGCATTCCCACGGGTACCTGACAGCTTCCAAGACAGAATTCCATTTGTACCACATCTTATAGAAAACCATGGCATAAAACAGATGCATCCTAGCTTTCACAAATCTAGCATGTAAAGGAAGGGGTAAAACTACATTTATTTTTTTCTCTTGCATTCCTACTCCTTTAAAACAATTCACAATTCCACGTATTTTAAGATGTTCTGGCTCACACGGGGAGGAGCAGGGACACCAGGGCAGTGACTTCTTGGGATCTGAAAGGAAGGGAAAGGTTGCCAGAATGAGTGGTCCCCAGAGACTGCTGCCTTCTGCTCTGGAGAAAAATGACACCAGAAGAGGGAGCTGTTGACCCCAGAGCCTCTGACGCTCCCAAATTCCTTTGGGTGAAATCTGAGGCCATACAGAAATCCCAGGGTCTCTCCTGTTCTATGACAAGGAAACATCACAATGGCCACTGGGCTCTGCCCCCACAGAAATCTGGCTTCTAGAAACTGGAACCCTGGAAGACCAAGGTCAATGTGTCCAGCCCCATCCTCTCTTCTAGGCTGGTTTACACTTCAGTGTGGCCTAGACCTGTCCTCCAGGATTTCCAAAACTGCAACTCCCCCGCCCCACTCCCAGGAAGTCTTCTCTGGAGTTGCTCTCAGGCAGGCTGTGGAATAGACCAGAATCTCAACTTGCTCATGTTTCTTCCCCTTTCCCTCAAAAGGCCTTAACCATTCGTTCACATCCAGGACTGGGGGGAATGCAATTGCTGCAGGCACAGCCACAAGAAGCTACAAGGCAGATCCACTTACGCTGGATGCGGAAGCAGAACTTCTTCTGCTGGTAGGAGATGTAGCTGGTGACGGCGCCAATCAGGGCCATGGCCAGGGCACTGGCCACACCGGCAATGGTGCCAGTCTCTGGTGACATTCCTGGGTAAAGGTGAGGGTGGGAGAAAGGAGAAGACTCAAGGTCAAGCTACCGTACCACAAGGATTGGCTCAGACACTGACCTAAGTTTGTTCTAATGCTCAGGACCTCTGAGCCAGTGTTGAGAGGCCCAGCCATTTGTATCAAAAGGGTCCAAGTGACATATTGCCCCCCTGGACTTGCCAAAGCATTTGGATTTCCATAAGGATTTCCATTTTGAGAAGCTTAAAAGGCGGACATGGAAATGGCGCAGTCCCTTCCTATTTAACTCAGTTCCAGTTAGGTCTCTGGGTCTCATGCCAGCAAGGTTCCCATGGGATGACCTCCCTGGGGATCCATGTTTTCATGATTCATTCCTTTAAATGACTTTGTCCCTCTGCTGTTGCCCTCACAGTTCTTTAGCAGAAACATTCAGGGGAAGGTCTGGAAGGCCAACTCTGCGATGAGAGTGGGCCAGCACTATGTCTCCTTGTGGTTTCCAACAGAAATCTTGGGACTCAAACTCACCAGCTTCAGAGTCATCATTGTTGCCATACCGGCCATCACCTGGAGAAAGGACAAAAGCACATAGTGTCCGCTGTGAGTCTGTGACCATCCAGCTCGGGGTTAGGAGAAACAGTCCCTTTCCAATTCCCTGACCCTTCTTATTACCCCCTGCACAGGCTCCAGCCAGTAAACCTCCCAAATGAAGCAGGACTCGCAAAGCCCAGGCTTCCAGGTAGGAATTTTTATTTTCAAAATGATAGCAACTATGCATTGAGCATTTGTTATATCCCAGATCCTAATGCACAGTACTCCATTGAATTTCCTTGCAATCAAATGGGGCAGATCATCCCCATCTTACAGAAGAGAGAGCAGAAGCTAAAGGACTTGCCAACAGGTGGCTGAGCTGGGCTCATGCCAGGTGAGCCTGACTCTGAATGTCAACAGTATGTGTGTCCCATGTATCTACTATGGTAAGAAGTATTTATTCTTTATCTGAAGTGTATGTAAAACTTTGTTTTAAAAAAGATGAAAGGCTAGCATAAATATTCATAATCCCACCAGCCAGTGAGATTTACGGTTAATATTTTCAATTTACTTTCTTCCTGTGCCTAGTACTTTATCTGCTTTTCTTCACATCCAGATGTTTCTGTTCATGTAACTTAGGTAAAATACAGCATCCTTATGAGATGCTATAGGATTAAATCGTAAGAGTTTTTAAGGGCTTCCACTTCCAGCTTGGCATAGATTTGGAGTTGTTCTTGGAACATACACAAATGCAGGTTGACAATCCCTTACCCAGGATTTTGAAATTCAAAAGGTTCTGAAATATCACAGAGATGGAGATGAGATGAGTGGCTGACAGGAGTTAAGGAGGGTGGGGGGGGGGGCTGTCTGTGATTATAAAAGGAAAACAGGCAGGATCCTTGCAGTGGCACAACTGTCCTTTATCTTGACTGTGGTGGTCACAGGAATCTATACATGAGATAAAATTTCATAAAACACAAACACACACACACTTCCCCAGACCAACAGCTCCCTGCCAAGCAAGTGGTGCCATTTCAAGACATTAATTAGCCTTGAGCACTCCTTTCATGTCACCCTCTTCTTCTCAGGACATAACACTCATTAACGGAGGGAGACTGTTCACAAAGCCCAGAGTCCTCAGGGGGAACCGCCCTGGGATGTTGGAGGCAATGAACTCTGACATTTCCTTCGCCAAAGAGTCTGGGGCAATGTGGTTCCTGGATGGTAACAAATGTCCACCCTCTGGGAAGGGATGCTGGTAATGGGGGAGGCTGTGGGTGTGTGGGAGCGGGGTTGATATGCGAACTCTCTGTACATTCTGCTCAATTTTGCTGTGAACCTACAAGTGCTCTAAAAAATAGTTTATTTTTTAAAAAGAATCTTGTGGGAGAAAATGAGGTTTGTTATGTTCCCACCTGGGGCAGAACCCTTGGGTTAAATGCATTTTATAAAGACCCATGATTGGATATGAATGGTTATTTACAAAAAAAGGAACACTGGCATTTTAAAAACCACAATGGGGATTCATCAGTGGCCCCCCTCTGCTGTGCTAGAGAGGCAAGCCCCTTCACAGGCGTCTTCTACTGACATGTCACCAGATTTCCAGACAGATCTGAGCAATTCAACCTATTCTTTCTTTCACCTTGAGGTGAAATGACGCTGAGTGTTCACAAGTCTCTCTTTCCTTGTTAATGATATGGTCATGAGGATTCACAGCAACTTGAACCTCACAGTCTATATGATGGCTGAGTTAAGAGGGTGTTACATGAAATGTAAACAGGACTGCCGCTGGCTATTGTTCATCCAGATGCAAACAGAGAGACCTGGTACTCTCCCAGGCTGTCAAAAAGATTCAAAATCTCAACACATCTCTACAAATTCCTCACTGACAACCTGTGACTGTACGGAAGCATTATCCTAAGATTATTTTTTAAAAAACCATGTTATTTCTCTCCCCTTCAAAAAAAGTGATCCCATCCTGTGGGAAACTCATTGCTCAGATGGACATGTGAGCTAGAAACACCATGAGGTTAAACAATTAGAAAAAAATAGGCATTTAGGATCCTTCCATCCCTTCTAGTTGCATGAACCTAAACTAAAGTCAGCCACACAGACCTGCCATTGCAGTTAGCCAAGCCAATGTCATGGCTTTGATCCTCATTCGGCAACAGAGCTCTATTTACTTCCTCTGAGCACAGAATGAACCCAGTTCCTTTATGAAATGCATGCTGTATAAAAGATAGTATTGGGACAACTGATGAACCACTGGCATAAAATAAATTTATCTAATCCAATACCTTCCATGGAAGTTCCCAATAAATACAAAACAGATGAAGCCATAAAAGCACTACAGGAAAATGTAGGACAACATTTATATTGTCTTGGGGCAAGGAATGAGTTTCCAAACATGACCCAAAATCCAGAAACTTAAAAAGGAAGAGATATCAAAAGTAAAAACTTTAGTACTAAAGCACAAGCAACAAAACAAAAAGAATAAGTTGGATTTCATCAAAATCAAAACCTTCTGTGCTTTAAAAGACTTCACCAAAACAATGGAAAGACAAACCCACAAATTGGAAAAAACATTTGCAAATTGTATATCTAGTAAGGAACTAGTACTGACAATATATGTCGAACTTCTACAACTTGATAATAAAAAGGCAAATAACTAGATTTTAAAATGGGCAAAGGATGCAAATAGACATTTCTCCAGAGACACACAAATGGCCAATAAGCACATGAAAAGATGTTCAACATCATTAGTCATTAGGGAAATGCAAATTAAACCTACAATGAGATACTGATTTAAACACATTAGGATGCCTATAATAAAAAAATAAGTAAGTGTTGGCTAGGATGTGAAGAAATTGGAACCCTCAGATATTATTGATGGGAATGTAAAATTGTCTAGTTGCTATGGAAAACAGAGAAGAAGCAATCTAAGGTTTCTCTTGAAGGATGGGTGGCTTAGCACTCTCTGGGGAATGAGTGGGAATTCATCTGGTGAAAGAAAGGCTTTTTAGACAGAGAAACAGAATGTGAAGGCCTAAAGATAAGCATTACCAGTTCATATGTTTGGAAATAAAAGGAACCTGGTGGTCCAGGGTTGAAAAATAGGGCAGCAGGCTAAGGGGCTTCAATGTATTTTATAGGCAGTGGAGAGCCATTAAAGAGAATTTGTTTGTTTGCTTCTTTAAAAAAGTTTTCTAACATTCAAAAGAGCTGAAAGCACTGTAGAGTGAACACTCACACTAGTATATCCAATATCTGGATCCTATAATGAACACTTTGCATTATTTGCTTTATCATTGTCCATTCAATGATATTTCTTATATTTGTGATGCATTTCAGAGTTGCAGATATCAGTATACTGACCTCTAAACATATTTAGAGTTCCACATTTGCTTATGATTCCTTTTGAAGGTAAAGTTTACATAGACAAATCTTATGTGTACCATTTGATAAGTCTTGGGAGATGAATATACTTGAAAAATCCATATCCCCACTAAAATACACAATGTTACCATCACCCCAGAAAGTTCTCTCATGTCCCTGTTCAATCACTCTCTGTCCGTATCCCAGCCCTGACAGCCATGAATCTCATCTCTAACATAACACATTAGTTTGCAAGTATTATTACTTAATATGTTTGGGCTCATTTAGTATGTACTCTTTTTTTCCCTTTGGCTTCTTTCACTTAGCATAATGTTTTGACATTTATCCATGTTTTTATGTGTACCAGTAATTTATTCCATCATATGAGTGTATATCATAAATTATCTATCCACTGATTCTCCTATTGATACTTGGGTTGCTCCCAGTTTTTTGCTTTTATTTGGCTATTATAAATAAAGCTGCCATGAACATTTTTTACAAGTCTTTTTTTAGACATAAGCTCTCATTTCTCTTAAAAATACATGAAATTGCAGAGTCAATGCATAGTCTATGTTCAGTTTTATAAGAAACTTTACATTCCTACCAACAATGTATGAGTTTCAGTTGCTCCACATCCAGACCGACATTTGGTATTGTCTGTCTAATTTTAGCCATTCTTGTGGGTGTGTTGTGATATCTCTCGTGGTTTTAATTTGCAGTTCCTTAATGACTTTGAACATCTTCATATAACTTCCTTTGTGAAGTTTCTGCTCAAATCTTATGCTCATTTTTAGCTGGGCTATCTTTTCATTAATATACAATAGTTTTAAGCAGAGGTCTGACAAGATCACTTTCATATTCCTGATGGTTCTCTCTGGCCACTGCAAGGAGGAAAAACTACATCCAGGAGACCAGTGAAGAGGTTAAGGTGATGACCCAAGCAGAGATGACATGGGTCTGGGCTTGAGGGGAGGCAAAGAGAAGTAATATTCCAGTTTCAAAAGATACTAAGAGGGAGGATTTCTGGCATGAGGGAATGAATAAATCATCTCCTCAAAAAGCAACTCTAACTGTGGATAATCAAAGACAGCCATTTTAGGGAACAGTGAGAACAGCTGGAGTCTGCGGCCTTTTTGCCCAGGCTTGCTCACATTCCCCCCTCCCCCAGACTAGTTCAACTGAGGTGGAGTAAACAGGCCATAAAAACCAGCAACTGCACTGCAGCTGCTAAAGGGGACCCACGTGACTTGCAGTATTGTCAGTTAATGTGGCAATCTCAGTAGCAAGTGAATAGGGAGAGCCAGCAGCTCCTTTAGCCTGAGCAAGCCAACCAGTAAACTCAACAGGGATTTCATAGGAAGGTAGGAGGTGAGATAACAGATGCAACCTGTTGACAAGACTGTCACTGTCACCTACAGACAAGGGGGCTCCTATAAGGCCAGCAGAAATGTTTTCTGGAGAAAAAAATATATAACAACATTTCAGAATTACACTCCAAAACTATAGTTGAGTCTATGTGCCTAAGAATCAAGGTTGCATGAATTATAATTGTTTTTAGGGTGAAGATCATCATTTATTTAATGTGATGTTTTATCTTCACGCATGGCATTAGCATGTTGGCACAGAGGAGAGTGTCTGGGAAATGCATCATGTGCTTATCAAAATGTTTCAGTTTCACACTTGTATTTTTTGCTAGGACCCCTTTTATCTTCTTTTACTGAGATCCATAATGACAGAGGGTAAAACTTGAGCTAACAACTGATTCTTTATAAGACAAGTTCAAATATGAGCCTAATTAAAGAATTTCCTAACACTTCCTCATTGCTAAAGCATGTACTTTTAATAAGGAATAAAATCATTCAGACTTTTATTCATGTGCATGCATACATACACTACTACTGCCCTAATCTCCCCATCTGGAAATACCATTTGTCACCCAGGAGTAATTGGCTCATTTGCTGGGTTTGCCCTTTAAATGTTCCATGTACTCCTGACACCTGCAAGTTTCATTTAGAGGCCTTTAGAGCTTTTTACTCAAGATGACACTGTCTGGAAAGGTGTTCTGAAGGACAAATTTGACTACAGTATCCTTTGATCAGAAGAAAACACTCTTCCCATATGAAAAGTACACAGTTCCTGTAAAAAAGGAGCAAATGGTAGTACCACTGCCAGGACTGTGGGGAGTATCACAGGGTTACCACCAATAACTTCTCACACACATAACTGTAACAACGTACCATCACAGCAAGTTACAACCACAAACTGCTACAACCATAGCTTACCATCAGAACAGGTTACAACCATAAGTAACAATCACAAATTACAACCACAACCTGTTTTTTCATATCAAGTTTGGCTAATATTCTCTCCATATTAAGATAAAATCTTGACATATTCTATATAATAAAAGCCCAGTGACCAAATGGCGTAATGACCAGAACAACCAATGGACCAGTCACTATGATGCACACTGACCACCAGGGGGCAGATGCTCAACACAGGAGCTGCCCCCCGGTAGTCACTGTGCTGCCACTTGGCTGACCAGGATGAGCAGCTGCTCCCGCTGCGAATCCTGGGCCAATGAGCAGGAACCCGGGCTGTAATTGTTGCCTCTTCACCCCAGGCTCCTCCTTCTCGCCCCGTGCTGCTTCCTCTGGATGCCCACAGGTCACGCAGAGCCACCACTGGGCTTGAAGAGCTGACCCCAGAGGCTGGGAGGCAGGTTCATGGCCGCTGCAGGACTGAGGCCTACTCCGCCTCCTCTCAGTGCTATTGTCCCCTGGAGAGGTGAGTGCTCTGGCTCCACAGAAGATGCCAGACCAGGGAGCAGCTGCTCAGCTGACCCGGGTGAGCGGTGCTCCCACAGTGGGCCAATCCCAGTAGGCCATGCTCCTCACCAGTGCACAAATCCCGTGCACCAGGCCTCTAGTATTATGATAAAAGTTTTGCATTATTGGTATTTTGGGTAATTAAAAATAACTGGCTTTGGGGGAGGATGTGACTATGAAGGCTTAGCATGAGGGAGTTCGCTTGTGATGGAAGAGTTCTGCATTTTGAATTCAGATTTTACACATGGTTATTAAAATCTGCACTTGTGATAAAATGTGGTAGACCTAGATGCACACATGTGCACACACACACAAACACACACGAGTTCATATAAAATCTAATAAAATTTAAATAAGGTTGATGCTTGACTTAATAACAGTATTATACCAATATCAGCTTCCTGGTTTTGACAATGTACTATGGTTACGTAAGATGGGGGAAACCTGGTGATAGATACACAGCTTTTACTTCTTGTGGGCATTAGACTATGTCAAAATAAAAAGATATTTTAAAAACTGTTTGGCTTGCCTGGCCAATGTGGCTCAGTGGTTGAGCATCGACCCATAAACCAAGAGGTGACTGGTTTGATTCCCAGTCAGGGCACATGCCGAGGTTGCAGGCTCAATCCCCAGTAGGGGCAAGCAGAAGGCAACTGATTGTTTCTCCTCGATGGTTCTCTCTCTCTATCCCTCTTCTTCTCTCTCTAAAATCTATAATATTTAAAGATGATTGGCTTGCTATGGATCTCCTTAAAAAATGATTGTCACAATGATTTTTGCTTCTCCCATCCCAAGAGTGACAGGCTTCCCAGGTGGGGGACTTCCCAGTGAGTTCTGTAACCCTCAGTTACTGTAATTGGTGCTGCCTTGGCAAATGGCTTCTTCTAATGTACAGACGCTAACCCATGCAGCACCCTGGCTTTAGGAACATCAGAGAAAATGTGTGACCTTGCCAAACTGTCTTATAAACTCTCCTCCTTGAGCTGCAGAGCTCGCATCATTCCAAGTGAACCCCAAGTTGCAAGCGCAGATGTCTGGGAACTACCTCTGACTTCCCAGAGGCTAATCATGTAATCACATTGTAAATGAGAATAAGCTGTTTGGACAGATAAATGCCCCTACCTCTACCCTTGTCTGGTTTGTAGTCACCACCCCCTAATACGTCTTCGAGATCCTTGTCCGAAAAACCTAGAGAGAAAAAAATATATACTTCAATGGCAAAAATACATTTTTCAGTGACAAGAAACCTGTATAGGTTAATGTTGCCCAACAACCCCAGACAATAATTGCCACTAAAGAATGTTCTTGATCAATGTGGTAGACAAAATTCTAAGATGGCCCACAAGATTCCCTCCCACTAGTATACCCATCCTGTATAATATCCCATTACTTTGAGTGCCAGCAGGACCATGAATAGGATGGCTATTGCCCCCGTGATTAGGTTATATTACATTACAAAAGTGAAGGGATTTAGCAGATGTAATTAAGGCACCAAATGAGTATGGCTTTGTATTCATCAAACGGGAGATTATCCTGGAAAGGCCTGACTTAATCAGATGAGACCTTTAAAACAGTGTTGAGACCTTCTCTGAATTCAGATACTAGAAACAACAGAGTTAGTCGTCCTCTTCCACTCTACCCCTCTCTGTCTTTGTACTGTCTGGCTCCTGCTGGTCCTGGAGAAGCAAAGATCCATTAGTTCTACAATTGCAAGGAAATGTACTCAGTCAACAACTACATGACCTTGGAAGAGAACCCAAGCTCAGATGAGACCACAGATTTGGTCAACATCTTGACGGAAGCTATATGAAGCCCTAAACAGAAAACTCAGCTTAGCTGTTCCTGAACTCCCCAACAAAGGAAATTGAGATAATAAATGGGTGTTGTCTTAACTCACTAAGTTTGGATCATTTGTTATGCAGCAATAGAAAACTAATACTAGGAAACAGTAATTAATTTTATTATAGCTCAACCACTAAGTACACATTGTTTAATATTCTATGTGATGAAATGAACGTATGCTTAAAGCATTTCTGTCGCACTCCAAAACATTATAGTTAATTCATAAAAGCACTTGCGTGATTGGTTCAGTTCTGAGTTGTATTAGATGCTTTGTGTCATGGAAGACAACTTTCACAGGAAAGACTGAGTGATGGGCAAACTATGATTGTGGTATCTTAAATATTTGGCTGATGATTTCTTAAAAATGAATGAAATAGGCTGTCACTTAAAATCCCTGGAGGTATTTGTTGTCAATGATAAGATTTCAAACAAGAATTAAAATTTCAAAAATCTTTATCTACCACTGTGAACAAAATAACTTCCCTCTACTTAAATACTTTTTCCGCCCTAGCTGGTTTGGCTCAGTGGATAGAGCGTCAGCCTGTGGACTGAAGGGTCCTGGGTTTGATTCCGGTCAAGGGCACATGCCTGGGTTATGGGCTCCATCCCTAGTAGGGGACATGCAGGAGGCAGCCAATCAATTATTCTCTCTCATCTTTGATGTTTCTATCTCTTTCTCCCCTCTCCCTTCATCTCTGAAATCAGTAAAAATATTTTTTTTATAAAAGACTTTTTCTGATGAGATGGGTGGTAATATCAACAAAAGTGAATTTAGGGAATTGCATAATGAAATGGCATTATTTGAAAGATCAAAGGACCTAGGGGCAACAATATTTTTCAAACGACCAAAGCACAATGTGCATAATCAAGAATGGGGTTTAACTCAATTATGGGAAGTTCACTGATACAATTTTATATTCCACACTAGATGCCCGGTGCATGAAATTCATGCATGGGTAGAGTCCCTAGGCCTGGCTGATGATCAGGGCCGATTGGGCCCTTCCTTCCAGCTACCGGCCCAGGCCTTCCTTTGTTCCATGCCACCCCCTGATGGTCAGCACACGTCATAGCAGGCAATTGAACACCCAGTCTTCAGGTCGAACTCCCGAGGGGACACTTTGCATATTAGCCTTTTATACGTAGAGACTGCACTTAACCTGAAAGAAATAACTACTGGTTGAGTTTTAAGTTTTTAGTGTCTTATCCAAGAATGTCCACAGTGATCTGCTAAGTCTATTAAAATATTCCTCCCTTCCCCAGCTGCATAGCTATATGAGGCCAGGTTCCCTCCATATACTTCAACCATCACAACATGTTACAAATGAATCTGGAACCAGCAGTGAGACTCTAGCACTTCCACTAAGATAGCCATCATATCAATTTGCAAAAATTTTTCTCACTAAAGTCCTCTTTTATCTTGCCAAGCATAGTTATTTCACATGATACTATGCTATTTATGTTATCATGCATGGGCTTATTGCTGTTCATTTTTCATTAATAAATACTTTTTTTCAGTTTTAATTTCAAAGATGATAGATATTGATAGATGTGACCCACATAACCAAAAACCCTTGAGATCCTCAATAATTTGGGGGGGTCCAAAAATTTGAGAACATTGTTTTAGGGTTCTCCTGTGCCTTTAAGTGCCCCCAGCTCTGCCAGGCCAGGAGTGGCTCTGTGGGCTGCAGTAGTAAATGAGCTACAACTCGACCAGTGAGCTATAGTGCTGGCCAGTGCTTTTAACCAGCTACAACTTACCTCCTCCTCCTGCACTTGGCTTCCTGCGGCCATCATCTCGATCATTTCGATCATCCAAGGCATCAGCCAAGTCAAAATCATCAACTTCATAAAAGAGAAAATCAATTGGTTAAATGACAGGTAGCTCACTTGGACACTACCCCAGAGGGAGCTCCACAGGGTCTTTCCTCATTGCCCTCATTAGAGTAGCATGTTACCTGCAGGCTTTGCCGGAGCTCTGGTCGTTCCAGGCCTCTTGGTTGTGGTAGTGACATGGTCCCATCGCTCTAAAGGAGGGAGGGGGACAGCAAGAGGAGCCCGTTTAGTAACAAAATATAGCAGCCACTTCATGGCTCAGGGAAGTCACATCATGAGTAGCGTACCCTGGTCTTGGTCCTTGAGGCTCCTCGTAGGCCTCTGAGAATCACTTAGAGAAGGATGACAAGGAGATGTAGGAGGTTTAAATGAGACAAGTTCTGCTCACATTTCTTCAGAAGATGGGTGGTGAGGTGGATGTTGTCCCTCATTCGACCTATAGACCTCCAATAGTTTTGACATTTTTTGCAGAGATATTAAAAACCACCCTAAAATTCATATGGAATCTAAAAAGACCCCAAATAGCCAAAACAAACTTGAAAAACAACATAGTTGAAGGATTCACACTTTCTTAATTTCAAAATTTACTACAAAGCTATAGTAATCAAAACAGTGTGGTACTGGCATAAGAACAGACATATAAACCAATGGAATAGAACAGAGTACCCAGAAATAAACTCTCACATATATGGTCAATAGATTCTTGACAAAGGTTCCAAGAAACTGGATATGCAAAGAATGAAGTTGGAACCTTATCTTACACCATATATAAAAATTAATTCAAAATTGATCAAAGACCTAAACACAAGAGCTAAAACTATACAACTCTTAGAAAAAATATAGGGGAAAACCTTCATGATATTGGATTTGGTGATAATTTCTTGGATATGACACCAAAAGCACAGGTAAACTGATAGATAAATTTGCCTGGATCAAAATTTGAAAGCTTTTGTACAAAAGACACTGTCAAGAGAGTGAAAAGACAATCCATAGAATAAGAGAATATATTTTGAAATCACATATCCAATAAGATATTAAAATCGAGACTATATAAAAGAATCCTACAACTCAACAATAAAAAACCAGTGATATTTTTAAATGGGCAAAGGGCTTAAATAGACATGACTTTAAAGAAGATACACAAATGACCAATAAATGCATGTAAACATACTCAGCATTGCTAGACACTAGGAAAATGCAAATTAAATCCATAATGAGATAGGACTTCACACTCATTAGGATAACAATTATCAAAAGAAAAAAACAGCAAGTTTTGGAGAGGATGTGAATAAATTGAAACCCTGGTACATTGCTGGTGGAAATGTAAAATGGTGCTGCTGTTGTAGAAAACAGTTTGGTGATTCCTCAAAAAGTTAAACATAGGTTATGTTTAAAAAATGCTGGGAATATACTTAATGCCAATGGATCATACACTAAAATGGTTAAAATGGTAAATTTTGTTATGTATGTTTACTACAATAAAAACACAATTCAATGCCCTAGTTGGTTTGGCTCAGTGGATAGAGGATCATCCTGTGGACTAAAGAGTCCTGGGTTCAATTTCGGTCAAGGGCACAAGCCTGGGTTGCAGGCTCAATCCCCAGTGGGGAGCGTGCAGGAGGCAGCCGATCAATGATTCTCTCTCATCATTGATGTTTCTATTTCTCTCTCCCTCTCTGAAATCAATAAAAATACATTTTAAAAAAACACACAAAAGCACCACAATTCAACCTAGGTGAAACACATAATCCCAATATTCCTATAACCATTAATGAAACTGAATTTTTTAATTTAAAACTTCCAAAAAACTTAATTTCCAGGTTTTTATGGTTTCACTGCTGAAGTATACGAAATATTTAAAGAGGAATTAACACCAATTTCACACAATCTCTTCCAGAAAACAGAGGAAGACTAATTCCCAAGAGCAAGACTCATTTTATGAACCTGATAACAGAAAAAGAGCATATAAAAAATTTACAGATCAATATTTCTTATGAATTAATACATAAAATCTTCAACAAAATACTAGTGAACTGAATAGAATATATAAAAAGAATTACACATCATGAACAAATGGGATTTATTCTAGTTATGCAAGTCTGGACCTACATTTAAAAACAAATATAAACCATCATATCAGCAGGCTAAAGAAGGAAAATCATCCTATCTAATAATAGACAAACATGGTAATTGACCATACCTTCGCTACACCTCCCATTGGCTAATCAGCGAGATATGCAAATTAACTGCCAACAAAGATGGCGGTTAATTTGCATACGTAGGCGCAAAGCGGCGGAGCGAAGACTGAAGGCAGCTCCGGCTGGAGCAAAGGCCTGGGTCCTGGGTGCCGGAGGAAAATCGGTGCCAGCAGCCGGGGGAAGGGAAGGCCTATTGCACGAATCTTTTCGTGCAACAGGCCTCTAGTCTATATATATAAAAGGCTAAGTGTCTGTCTGTCTGACCATAGCTATGGCACACACTGACCAACCAGGGGTCAGACGTTCAACACAGGAGTTGCCATGACGCACACTGGCCATTTAAAAATAAACAGCACCATGGACCTAGCACCAACAAACCAATACTCAGCTTCCCCCAAGTGGGACACAGGCCTCGCCACCACCCCGGAGTGACACCCCACCAAATTGCAGCCAATGCTGCCGAGACCCCATGGCACAAAATGCGACCCACAGCCCAGCCCAGCCTGGAAACGGTCACTGTGGATGCCGGGTAATGACATCACACAGCAACACCTGGCTTCCTCTCCCTAGCAACTAGCCTCCTTGGAATTCCTTCAGCCCAGCAACCCAACTTGCTTTATAGCCAGGTGCAAACATTTTACAGTTTAACCAAATGTTTGTGAAGCATTTTCCCATGCCTCATCTCATTAGATCCTCACAGAAGTCCTGGAGTAGGTAGATAGGAGACTCCGTAGAATCCTATATTCTTTTCATTAGCTGGAAAACGGAGATTTAGAAAGTTTGGAAACTTGATCCAACATAAAAGAAGTAAGAAATGGTGGAACTTGAAAATGACTTCAGGTTTTCTCACTGTGCAGAATATAGTCAAACACTGCTGCAGTTAAATATCTTACCCTTTGTTCTCCCTGCCTGATCTACAATAATAATCTGCTTCATGTTGACATTTACTGCTGTGTTGCTGACAATTACCTGAAAGAGAAGTTGGGGTGCTTCACTGGGCTGGAAAAAGTTTAGCTACATCAGAAAGCAGGTCTAATTAAGTAAGTTTATTCTATATCTATAAAAGGCTGTTGACTCGCGCATGCGTGATACATATAAAGCTCTCACTGGTGCCAATCACACGTGTGTTTCAATCTGTTATTGTTGATCATGAATTTGGTTGACACTTCTATTATAGAGAAAGGGTGAATAGTGATATTAAAATATTTCTTCTAATTAATTTCTTTTCAATGTACACGAATTCATACACCGGGACACTAGTATAATTATATTGACATATAAAATCCAATATCCATTTATGAAAAAAACAGCAAATTAAGAATAGAACTACCACAACTTCATAAAGAACATTTAGAAAACATCTATAACTCTCAGCAGACTTGATGATGAAAGACTGATACTCTCTCCCTGAGATCAGGAACATGGCACAGAACCTGCTCTCACCATTTTATTTAACACTAGAGGCCTGGTGCACGAAATTCATGCATGGGGGGGGCGGGGGGCGGGTGGTCCCCTCAGCCCAGCCTGCACCCGCTCCAATCCGGGACCCCTCGGGGGATGTCCGACTGCCAGTTTAGGCCCAATCCCTCTCACAATCCTGGACCGCTGGCTCCTAATAGCTCACCTGCCTGCCTGCCTGGTCACCCCTAACTGGCCCCCCTGCCGACCTGATCACCCCTAACTGCCCCCCCACTGGCCTGGTCGCCCCTAACTGCCCCCTGCTGCTGGCCAGGTCACCCCCAACTGCCCTCCCTGCTGGCCTGGTCGCCCCTCATGACCCCCTTGCTGGCATGGTCACCCCACACAGCCTGCTTGTTCAGTCAGTTGGTCGTCCCTCACTAACCCCCCTCGCTTGCCTGGTCACCCCATGCAGCCTGCTTGTTCAGTCGTTTGGTCATCTCTCACTAACCCCCCTGCTGGCCTGGTTGTAAGCAGCCATCTTGTGAGGACATGAGGGTCAATTTGCATATTACCTCTTTATTATATAGGATAATACTAGAAGTGATAACATTGCAGCAAGAAAAAAACTTTTTTAAAGATTTAAAAGGAAGAAATAAATCTGCCCCTATTTGCAGATAAAAAATTCCATGGAATCTACAAAACAAAATTTTTAGAACCAATAAAAGGTCTCAAAATATAAGATTGACAAAATCAAAATCAATCATATATAATAGTAATTAGATATGAAATATGAAATTAAAACACATTACCACTTATAATTGTTCCAAAGAAAATAAAATATTTAGGTGTACACTTAAAAAACATATACAGAACCCAGTAATTCTACTTCTTGGTATTTAAGAAAATGAAAGTACTAATTTTAAAGGATATATGCAATCCAATGTTCACTGCAGCATCATTTACAATAGCCAAGATATGGAAACAACCTAGGTGCCCATCAATAGGTAAATGGATAAAGAAGATGTGGTACATAAATATAATGGAATATTATCCATCCATAAAAAGAGTGAAAGCTTAACATGTGTGACAACATGGATGGACCTTGAGGGCATTATGCTAAGTAAAATAAATTGGATACAGAATGACAAATACTGTATGACTTCACTTATATATGGAATATAAGAAATAAACATATGCATAAACAAAATAAAACAGAAACAGATTCAAAGATACAGAGAACAAACTGATAGTAGCCAAAGAGGAGGGTGGTGGGCAGAAGGATAAAATAGGTGAAGAGGAATAAGAGGTACAAACTTCCTTATATAATAAGTCACAGGGACATAATGTATAGCACAGGGAATATCCAATCTAATAAAGAGGCAATTGCTAATTGACCCTCATGCTGTAGCAAAGATGGTGGCGCCCACAGCCAATAAGGAGGAAATATGCTAATTGACCACCCCACCCTCAAATATGGTGGCGTCCACAACCAATAAGGAGGGAATATGCTAATTGACTGCTCCACCCTCAAAGATGGCAGTGCCCACAGCCACAAGATGGCAGCGACCAGGCCCCTCAGCCTCCCAGCCACC